AGTGGACTACTCCCTGCCCACCATCTTCCTCGCCGAGTGCGTGCTCGTCTATATTGAGGCGCAGAACTGCCGTAATCTGCTCAAGTGGATTGCGCAAAAGTTCCAGGCCGCCGTCTTTGTGAACTACGAGCAGGTAAGCGTCCTTTGGCATTAGATCTTACTTGCCCTACTATATCAATTAATCCCTCGATTGCTGCAGGTTAACATGAACGACCGCTTTGGCGATGTGATGCTCAACAACCTGCGCGGTCGCGGCTGCAGCCTGGCCGGCGTAGAGTCCTGCCTGTCGCTGGAGACGCAGCGGAACCGCTTCAAGGACAGCGGCTGGACTGGCGCCCGCGCCTGGGACATGGTGCAGGTGTACGAGAGCATCTCTGCGGCCGAAAGACAGCGTATCGAGCGGCTGGAAATGCTGGACGAGGGGGAACTGCTGCTGCAACTCTTCCAGCACTACTGCCTGGTGGTGGCCTGGCTGGGCGTGGCCTTCCAGGACATAGATATCACGTGCGTGCCAGTGTAAACATTCGTGCCTAACTGACAGCGAACTCCCAATATTCCCCGATTACTAACGAAAGACTATTATCTTCACTTACAGCGTCGAAGAGTTGATGTCCTCTCTGAACATTGACTAGGAGTGGTGAGGGAGGAACGGATAAAGAGCCAACCTAAATGGATGAACTAATTGTTGACTTCTTTATCTGCTCGGAAGGCCATGCCAAAAGATTTTGCTTCTCAACGTGTTAAACTTAACAAATAATTATAAAAACCATCGAAATCAAAACGTATTTAGATAATTATCACACACAGACCCACTCACAAATTGCTACAATTGTACATTTTTAGTTGTTCCTTAAACCTTCTTGTTACATTTTCTATTATTTAATCGCTTAATTTTTTTTGAATCGCTTACTATTTTGTCACCGAACCGTGGCGTAGACTATTGATTGGAGATCTATGCGCCATCCATTCATTCCCAAATTCTAGTGTGCGTTAATGTAAATGTATTTTGAAATTAATTAAAACGAAACTTAATTGGAAAACTTACATCAAATGGGTTTTTAAAAGGGTTAGGCGAAGGTTACTCGAGAGACAAAGCACACATTTCTTTAGGAAATTAAAACATTTACAAGTTTTACTTTATTTTATACATAATATCGTTCAGAATAAAACGTATATTTCAGGTGTAAATTATCTGAATGCTCTCGCTCTAAGCTTCCTTATCAACGTGGGATATACAAAGTTCAAATGTAAATCAACTGAATGTTCTTGTTCTAAGCTTCCTTGCTGGTTTTCGCCATTTCGCGGGTTCTGAAAGTAAAAATATAGTTTGAGATACATTTCGAACTGTTGAAACAATCGTGGGCATTCTCTTACATGGCCCGAAGCTCTTCCAACGTGGGCACTGCAACACGCGTAGATTCGCTCTCATCCTCCTTGGCCGCCTGCTCCGGATGCTTCTTCCACTTGTGCGACCGGCAGTTGGTATTGCTCGCGAACGCCTTGTCGCAGTATTTGCATACATAGGGTCTTAGACCAGTGTGGCTCAGTAGGTGGATCTTAAGGGCTGTGGAGTTCTTGCTGCCGGTGCCACAAATTTCGCACCTGAAGCGTCGCTCCTCAGTGTGCACATACCTGTGCTTGTTCAGATTCGCCCGGGTCTGCAGCATCTTTCCACAGGTATCGCATTTAAACTGGGGCGCTCCGTGCGTCTGGCTGTGCACCTGGAAAATGCATGTTAAGTCCATGATTTAGTTAACTACTTGAGTATCCCATTACGCACCCTAAGTCTGGCCTTGTTCTTGAAGGCAGCATTGCACACGGGACACACGCAGGGCTTCTCATCCGTGTGAACCAGCTTGTGCTCCACCAGCGATGTGAAGGTCTTCAAACCTTTGCCGCAGATGTCGCAAACGAATCTCTTGGGGCCGCCGTGCACGTCGTGTTTGTGGCTGCGCAGGGCCATAAAGGACATGAAGGACTCCTTGCAGACCTTGCAGGTGAACTCGTCGACAGGCGGACTGGGGGAGCGGTCTTTGGACGACACACTGCATTCGGACATCTTTTCCTTTGCTTTGGATTTAGTAATGCTTTTCGTTTCGACGGGCGATTGCTTTGGGCTGTGGTTAAGCTTCTCCGGCTTGCCTGGACCCTTGGGTCTGCCTCGTTTCCGTTTCGCAGGCTGCGGCGATGTGGTGTCCTCGTCGGTTAGACAAGGCTCACTATCATCCTCTAGCAGCAATTTTTGGGCAGCAAGATTCACTGGTTTGTGACCACGTTTTATTTGAACTTCAGGTGATGGAGCAGTGGGTAGCGATATGGGTGGCTCGTCCAGCTCGGATTTGGAACGTGTGGAGCTCCCACGCGGGCGACCTCGCTTTTTTGGCACCTCAGGTGAAGGTGTCATGGAATGACACGAAAAAATTACCTCATCGTCATAGGAAAACTTGTCCTCTTGATCATCGATGTCCAGGAACTCCATTTCCAGCTTACAGGTCGGCGGTAGGCCAAATTCGCGACGCAGGGCGTCCACATCTTGGTGGTCCTGCGGCTCCGAGTTGCGCAAAATTTCAAAAATGCCCTGGATCTTGCTGACGCTCTCGGCAAAGGTGAGCAGCTGGCCAATCACCGAGTAGCACTCCTCGCACAACATGCTGGCCAGCACCGGCTCCTCGAGGGTCATCTGCCGGCATAGAGAAACAATGCATCATAAGTCGGGGTGACAGGAAATCGAATCACCTACCTCCACATCAAAGCATTTCCTGATGATCTTCACCAGATCCTCGTCCCGCTCGCGTACTTTGAAAACGACATCGTCGCGGGCGCACAGGCGACACCAGTTCGCCCAATCGGTCGTCGGAACGCCCATGGTGTATGTTAGTCCTCCTCACAAATTGGACAATTTGGTACAGATTTAATTTCCGATTTTATTCAAATTATATTTAACAAACGCCAATGCCAATCAGCTGATTAATGGAACGCCCTTACTTTAAAGCGGGAAAACTATCGATTAGTGCGAAGCGTTCACACAGAGCAGAGTTGATGCAGAAACGTGAATCAATTGGAGGAGGAAATGAACTAGTGTTTGAGAAAGAACCAGTGTACAATTTTCAACACGTGCTAAAAAAATACCGGTTTTCGTTTAAAAATACTTACTGGATTACAGGGTTTTCCGTATTTCCCATGGCTTTCAGTATGGGAACCCAAAACTGCACTTCTAGATTCCGTAACTTTAGATGTTGGATCCGGATTCATACGTGGGATACCTCTATGAATTTGTTGTTGAATTCTCTAATATTCTACATTAAAATTTATCTTTAAAACTAGGATCAAAAATTTCACCCATTTTCATGTTCGATTTTTCTGTAATTCCAATGCACTTCAAGATTCCATAGCTTAAGTTACGGTATCCCGATTTTAAAGTGGGATACCTCTATGAATTTGTAGTTGAATTCTCTAATGTTCTACATTCAAATTTATCTGTTAAATGAGGGTCAAAAATTTAACCCATTTTCATGTTAGATTTTTCAGTAAAACCAAGTAGAACCCAAAACTGGTCTTTAAGATTCTATAACTTGAGTTATTTTATACCGATTTTAAAGTGGAATACCTCTACGAATTTGTGGTTAAATTCTCTAAATTTCTACATTAAAATTTATCTGTTAAATGAGGGTCAAAAATGTAACCCACTTTCATGTTCGATTTTTCTGGAATTCCAATGGCATTCGGAATGCGACCCCAAATCTGCACTTCAAGATTCCATAACTTAAGTTATGGTATCCCGATTTTAGAGTGGGATACCTCTATGAATTTGTGGTTGAATTCTCTAATATTCTAAATTAAAATTTATCTTTTAAACGAAGGTTAAAAATTTAACCCATTTTCATGTACGATTTTTCCGTAATTCCAATGGCTCTCGGAATGGGAACCATGGGAGTGGGAACTTGAGTAATTTTATCCCGATTTTAAAGTGGGATACGACTATGAATTTGTGATTGAATTCTCTAATATTCTACATTTAAATTTATCTTTTAAACGAAGGTCAAAAATGTAACCCATTTTCATGTACGATTTTTCCGTAATTCCAATGGCTTTCGGAATGAGAACCCAAAACTGCACTTTAAGATTCCATAACTTGAGTTTTTTTATCCCGATTTAGAAGTGGAATACCTCTATGAATTTGTGATTGAATTCTCTAATATTCTACATTTAAATTTATCTTTTAAACGAAGGTCAAAAATTTAACCCCTTTTCATGTTCGTTTTTTCCGTAATTCCAATGGCTTTCGGAATGAGAACCCAAAACTGCTCTTTGAGATTCCATAACTTGAGTTATTTTATTCCGATTTAGAAGTGGGATACCTCTATAAATTTGTTGTTGAATTCTCTAATATTCTACATTTAAATTTATTTTTTAAACGAAGGTCAAAAATTTAACCCATTTTCATGTAATATTTTTCCGAAATTCCAATGGCTTTCGGAATGAGAACCCAAAACTGCTCTTTGAGATTCCATAACTTGAGTTATTTTATTCCGATTTAGAAGTGGGATACCTCTATGAATTTGTGGTTGAATTCTCTTATAGTTTACATTTAAATGTATCTTTTAAACAAAGGTCAAAAATTTAACCCATTTTCATGTTTGTTTTTTCCGTAATTCCAATGGCTTTCGGAATGGGAACCCAAAACTGCTCTTTGAGATTCCATAATTTGATTTATTTTATCCCGATTTTACAGTGGGATACCTCTATGAATTTGTGGTTGAATTCTCAAATATTCTACATTTAAATTTATCTTTTAAACGAAGGTCAAAAATTTAACACATTTTCATGTCCCACATTTCTGTATTTCCAATGTATTCAGAATGGGAACACAAAACTGGACTATTTTATCCCGATTTAGAAGTAGGATACCTCTATGAAATTATGGTTGAATTTATAAATATTTTCTACATTAAAATCGATATTTTTTTAATCCAAAATAACACAAAGTCCGGTTGAAAATATAAATTTAATAACAATTTTATTTCCAGGCGAAGGTAAAAAGTAGTATATAAATGACGCAGAATAACACAGTTGCTTATTATAAGAAAAAATAATAAGTCAATTCTCCATGTCTTCTGTATCGTTTGGCTCCTTCTCCTGCCAATTCTCAATGGTGTAGTAGGCTTTCAGGGCAAGTTCGTCGTCCAGCGTTAGTTCGCCCATTACCAAAGGTCCCAATTGTTTGTCCACCACGACGTCCTGCCAAAACTCGCTGTGCTTCTTGGCCAGCGTGATCTTTTTAAGCTCCTCGGCGAACTTGTCGTACTCCTGGAAAGTATTGAAGTCCATACAGCTCTGCCGGTAAAGGGCGATGATCTCGCCCAGCTGCTCGCAGTTGAGCTTTTTGCGCTCCAAAAGAGTGAGGATGACCACGCGGGTATCGGCAGCTAGAGCCAGAAACCGGGCATCCCGCTGGGTGGCATTTGTGATGGATCGAACGCTTGCCAGGATGCGCGTGAAATCTGAGCCGGGATTGGTCAAGCTCACGCCATCCGATGGCATCGGGATTTCTTTCTCCGCTGGTTCCTGCTTGACGGGCACTCCATTTTCTGCCTGCTCTTTGGCGAGCAGCTTTTCCTGCCAGGCGCGACTGTAGCGCAGGGGAAATAGCTTCTTCACATTGGCAGCCGCCCTTTTCGACTTTTCCTCTAGGGGTTCCGGCACTCGCCAAAAGACATCTACGAAATTCTTTTCCTTGAGCATTTCACTTTCCCGGTCATCATTCCAGATTACCTTTCGCTCAAGGATGTCCATCACATTCTGCTCAAAGATGCTGGGCAGCCCGTCGAAGGGAAGCAGATCATTCTGGGCCCATGGACGTGGTTGCTGCGTGTCCCGTAGGGTGCATTCCAGATCGGTGCTATCGATAAGCTCGTCTATGGCCTGCAGCTGGTCCTCGCTGCACTGCGTCTTGCTCGTTCGCAGACTGGGGAAATCCCAGAAATGGTGTTGACTCGTATAGGAAACTTCCAGCATGTACAAAGTAGCCGGATGAGTGTCGTCTGCTAGACGGGGAAGCAGCACAACCATTTGCGGCCTGTTAAACTTGGTGCTAAAGATCTTCCAGCAGATGATGGCCCGATCCGACGAGATGAGGGCTCGGACCAGAGCGTCCAATTTGACGGCGGCGGCCTTGTTATTCTTCTGGTGCACCAGAAGGTACAAAGAATCGCCACAGTAGTACTCATCCGGGACAGCATTTCGTTTGATGAACCCAAAGAAATGAAGACCCGGCGGAAACGGTTCCTTGGGCTCCAGAACGTCCGCGTCATAGGGCACCGGAGTGCCGCCCAGCATGTAACCAGACATCAGATCCTCCGGCAGTGGCGTTATTTCGCTGCCCTTGATGAAGTGTCGCGTCTCCCGGGTCACCGTTTCATCCTTCTCCGCCCAGACCTTCGTCAGCTTTACGGGCGTCTGGTTCTTCATGGCGATCATGCCCTGCAGACTGATACAGATCTTGCTGCCGATGTGCAGCTTGGCGTTCCACACCCAGGGTCGTCGGTTGGTCACCTTAAAAACGGTGAGCAGGGCCTCCTTGAAGCTGCACAACGTTGCATTGCAGCGGGGAACGAGGCTGAGGACGTGCTTCTGGTTTTCCAGCTCCTCAGCACCACATTTCCGCGAGAAGTTGAAAATGGCCTGCGGCTGATCCGTCTCGGCATTGTCCTTGTAGGCTATGTTGTGGGTGCTGACGGGTAATACAAACATTTATTATAAGATATAATGCAACTTATTGCTTATAAGAAGAAACTAGTATTTAAACTTGATATATTGTTAACTGGTAATCAAATTGTTTTTAATAGGAAAATAATATAGTTTAACTGCTCACCCCACAATCAAATCAATGTTTTCTTTCAGCAAGTAGTCCGTAATTTCGTTGAACTTATCGTAGTCCTGCGGAAAGTCATTAAAATCGAAGAGCAGGAGAATCCTTCGTCTGGCGGGCTTGAAACTACAGAGGATACTTTATAAAACCGAGAGTCTGATGATGAAATATTGTACCTACGAAAGTGCGGTTTCCTGAAGCTTCAATGCTGCCTGAAGACCATCTAACCATTGTCCTTCCTCGCAGGCTGTTTTATTAACAAATTTGAAGAATTCCAGCAGAAGATGCCAATTGCAAAGTTGTGGGTCTCCATATGGGACCACATTTGGTTCGGTTTCTTTTTCTTTATCGTCGCATCCCACCAGGACGAAGGAGACAAAGTCCTTCTTATCGCAGACGATCTGGGGATGATGCAATAGAGCGGTTTTATTATAAATATTATTTTTAAAAGTATTTTACACACCTTATCCTTAATAATCTCCGCCACACATTTCGCCGATTTCAGTTTGACTTCTTCGGCGGCACAGGTGCGCACATCCAGCACTATTATAAGGCATTCCTAAGGATTATTATAAAATTAAGATTGTGGTTGATGCAATATGTCATAAACCCACCTTGTTAGAAGCCATTAAAGAAGATTATTTACAGAAAGATTTTTGAATTGTTGGCTCGGCGCAGAAAACAAATTTCACAACACAACAGTATGACCTTCTGGGCGATAACAAAAAACCCGCCGATTTAATATCGATATTTTTAGAATTACATTTTGGTTATTACAAAAGTTTTCTTTTATTCCAAGCTACATATTAATTTAATTTAACTTAACAAAAAAAAGATTATAAAAATAGCACAACTTCATATTTTTGAATATTGGATTCAGCTGTAACGTTTTCAACCGTTTATCGATTGTTACAACGTCGCGTTGCCAACTATATTGTAGCTAGCCGTTAGATTTAAAAGACACTGTGTAAATATTTAGGTAATATATTTGTTTTATGTTCAAAATTCAGGTTAAATAAAATAGCCAACAATTTATTCTTATAGTTTCCTAAACCTTCCCGTAAGTCTGTAGCTTTTCTAGATACTCGGCGTTTTGGCTTAAATGATTGAAAATCAAATTGGTATCCAGGACATTCGTGGCAGGTCCTCCGTATTCCGCCGGCAGACTTTCATAACCAACCATTTCGCGCAGTTTGCTGAGATTTTTACCATCGTGGGTGAAGATCTACGAAAAAAAGCGATTACAATTTATGAAACTAAATTATGTAGAATATACTTACCCTCTCCTTAAACTCCTTGTTCATAAAGGGCATAAATAGCGTGGAGGTTATGTGCATGAGAAATCCGCGCTGGATAATATGTACGATTCGGGAGCTGAAGGGCACGACTCCGTTTTTTTCGTTCACCGTCTTCATAAAGGTTGGCGAAAATTGTCGCAAAAAATTCCGCGTTGTCCTGGGAAGTACAAATTAAAATGTAAAGTTAAATATTTTGTGGACAATACAAAAATCAACAAAACTATATCTGTTTAAATTAATTTTAAACTGATATAATAGACTTTTATAAACCTAATTTCTAAAAATTGGTTTTTCCTTAGAAAATGTAAAACAATTTCAGTTTTGTTACCTGGAGTTTGTTTTTTACTTTATTTTTTAATGTTTTTTTGTAAGTAATTTAAATATTTATATTTTTCCATTTTCTTTTTATTTCTTCTCATTTCAAAAACTTATTATTTTTGAACATACGCCTAAAGCAGAACTCCGCGATTAGCTTTTAGTTAAAAACTGAAATGAGCAATGGAAAAAACTTGAAGAAAACCCACCACTTAATATTTCAAAAATTTGAATACTATATTATTTTTGGAATTTATTTTTAATGTTAAGACTATTTTCTTGAGAGCATATGAATTTTGAATACCATACTACAATATATACATATATATTTCCTATTAATAATTAATAATTATATTAAAAACTGTGTAATTCTTAGGGATCCTGGATTCGATTGACTTACCCTTGGAGGTCGCAAATGACCGTGATACCGTTTTCCTGGACGCGGGGCAACAGCAGGAGCGACTCAAAGATCAGGTCGTCCATCTCGACGAGGCTCTGCAGATAGTTGGGATAGTTTTGGAACCCGTCCACCGTCTTGAAGACAACCAGAACCCGTCCATTTCGATCCACCTGGGGCAATACGTAGCGGCAGTGGGTGCCATAGAATATCTGACGATAGTGTTCGATGGGATGGCGGGCCACCCAGTCGGGATGGCGCCTCTTGAAGTCGTAGTAGGCGTGAATGGCCTGGTAGGCCTTAATCGTATCCCAGCGCGTATAATGCAGGAACTTGGTCAGCAGGGTGTCCTCCGTTCCCACGATCAAGTCATCGCACTCTGAAATTCATAGTTTATACAGTATAATCGACGGGTATATCCCACTAATGTACATTTAGCATTTTGCTTACTCTCCACCAGCTGTCTTAGTTGCTTGATTTTGAAGATCTGTTCCGCCGTGTGATCGACTCGGGCGGTTAGGAACAACATTTTAGGCTTTGAATTTTGAACAAAAAACATCCAAAATATTTTAGAATTTTGACTGATTGCTTTTCAACGGCCAGAAGTTTCACTTTTTCACATTCAATCCGCTAACGGTCCGCACTCGCAACGCAAACGACGCCCACTGACTAAAATATCCATGAAATCTGATTTGGCGTAGATGGTTTATTTGTTTTATAACTTGTGCGTGCTCAAATTCTTAATGGTCCCCAATCGCTTTGAAATATATTACTTATCTTTCAACTTGAACTTGGCTTCTTTTGGGATTGTATCAGTTCTAAAATGGCATGCAATTTATTATTTCTTATAATAAGCTTCACCGGAAACCCTAATTTTTTACACATGATACATTTACTTCACATAATTTTCTTAATATCAAATCGTATTAAAGTATAAACCTCGCCCTATGAAAATTTCAGGAGTACTACGTCCTTTAATATGGCTAAAATCTTCGTCTTCGGCGGAGTCATCAAGTTGACCTAACCACGTATTCAAGCCACAATTCATTTAACCCGGCTGCTGAGAAAAAGTCAAGTCGAAAAGTAGAAAAAGTAGTCAACAAAACGCGAAAGGAAACTATAAGTACGATAATTGAAGAAAATGTCATCTACACACGATGCTACGTGACTTAATAATGCCCCTTGTCTGTTCATAATAACGGTCACAACGTGTTGCTCCATTTATATATATATATATTCTATATATTCGACACTTTAGTTTCTTATTTCTTAGATTTTTTCGTCATTTTCCATTTCATTAAGGCCCATTTATCGACTTGTAAAAGTTGAGAGGTCTAGAAAAATAGTACATAGTTTTTTAACTAGTAAATTGAGTGTGAGTTCGTTCAGAGCGAGAAAGATAGATGGTCATCAAAGACCGTTTCCAAAAGCGCTTAAATCGTGACTTTGATAGAAATGTTGGAATTAACATTGCACTACGAATATCAAGTTGATAATAATGAAATTTTGTTATTATGATGGCAATAACTTTACCTTTCAAGTGGATTGTAATTTTGTAAACGATTAGCAAATCAATGAATATTTAAAAATTGTTTTGAATTATTAACTTCCCATTTTGTTAACTGATTGACCCAAAAGTAAAATTATCTCAACTATTTTTCAGATTAAATAACTTCTGTTCACTAAATTCTAGAGTTAGATAATTAGGAAATATAACCCTAATTTCTAACAAACGGCTTTAAAATCAATTTGGGTTTTCGACAATTCATAACATTTCGGTTGACTAGAATGCAATTTGCATTCATTTCAATAATTTAACAACATTTCCACCCTATGGGAGGTTACCCCATGAATAACCGCTAAAATTTGTCACGCTTTTGATTTTAACCAATTGATGTAATTCAAATTAGTACTTTTGCAACTGTTTCGGCAGTGACTTTTTATAGTAATCCAAAACGTATAAATAATGCATTCAATTTAAATGCTAAATATAAACATTTGGTTTGTGCGGTTTGTTTTTGGCCGGTGAGTAGCGATTGTTTGCACGCTGATTAAAATGCGGTCACCTGGATTGCTGGCCCTTCTGATAGTAATAAAGTTGTGTCTATTTAGTAAACAAAAACTTAGTTTATTATGGAAAAGTAACTAACTCTAATTCTAACTCTATGTCTGACTCTAAGTAAAATTCTTTGTCGAACTCTTAGTTTAACTCTAACTCTAACTTAGGAAAACATCTTTTAAAATGGCATCAAAACTGCCAGCAGCAAATCACATTGACGACCACAATGGTAACCCCAAAATCTAAAAAAAATGTCCCATTCTCGTATATGTTGACCATCATAGAAGCAAAACCCCTCACCCCTGGAAAACAAAACAAATTACAAGTGTTGTAAAGTGTCATTTTTCAACAGGACGAGCGGGCAATGTAGAAATAATCATAATGGCCAAGCGCATATTTGAGGCGAAATCTTGTAGAAACAATAGCAGAGAGCTCCCAAAAAAAAGTTACAAAAAGGAAAACAAGAAAAATGCGAGAAAATTTCGCTGGCACAAGAAAGGTCCGAAAAAGTAGAAAAAAAAACCAAAAAGAAAAACTAAACCAAATTCCAATTTGTCAGGAATTTGTTCAATTTTAGTTTTGCGGTGGCCAGGGACCGAATGAGAGGACCCCGGAAGTCCATCTCCCCCTTGGTCGACCATCTGCATGCCCCACACGTGCCGCCATGCAAAAAACCCATAAGCATAACGGTCCACCGCCACCCACTTGCCATTAAAGAGCTCCCACGACAAATCGCACACATTTAACACGCACCCTCTGAACCGAGAGGGGTTTTCGGGGGCTAGAAGGACCCCTGTGGGGGAAAAAACTGCATACTTAACAGGCCCACAAAAAACCAGCAGGGAAACAGCTGCTCGCAATGGCTCAAACAGCGTCGTCAACTGGCCAACAGAAGAGTACAATCGTTGGGGATGGGTTCTGGTGGTAAACAAGTAAGGAAGTGTTCTAATGATAAAAATTGCAAACGTATTGGTTAAAATTGGTTTATCAAGGAATATATATGTACATATGTATTCAGACTGTTTGGATTTATGTTCTAAAAAAAAATTAAGAACTGATTAAAGAATCGAAAATTTATGTTAATTTACAAACCACAGGAATCTCAAGAATTCGCGTATTTCGTGAAGTCTATTTCATATATTTTATTCTCTCAAATCTAAGAAGCGAGAAAAGAGCGAGATTGCAACTATGGGTAAGCGGGAGGCAATCATATTCGACACTCATCGAACTAAAAAATTAGAGGTAATAGCAAGAATTTGAGCAAAATAATTAATTAATTAATAAAATAATTTTTTTTTTGTGTAAAGCGGATTGCAAACACTACGTAACGTTTATTACTTTGTCTTAAAAAATGTATTTTTCAAAATTATTTATCATCTACCTTGTTACAATGTATGGTATGATTATATCTTCTACTCACTTTTTTCGAGTACTTTCAAATTTATAACCATAGTTATTTGGGAAACTCACGATTCCATCGCTATGTGAAGGAACCCATAAGTTTTCTTTTGCTTGCGGCCTTCCCTAATGACATTTGTATGCCGTTGCAGACATGTGCAACTGTTGGATCTGAAATACAAACGTATATAGCTTTGGAAAACTCAACCGAAGGCTTCTTTGTCGTTTTTTGCAGGAGTTGCAGCTCCAGCTTGCCAAT